CCTATAAATTTCAATAAAATTGTTAATTTTATTTTTGATAACAAGTCGAAGTGGTCTATGTTTAACGAGACAGGAGTTTAATATCCATGCCTTTCCTTATTCAGGCGCTGGCTCACTTACCGGGTGTAATACTTTTAGTAGAATTTTTGCTCGAGAAATAACATATTCGCATAATATGTGATATGTACTTAAAATACTTAAATCAACTTAGTCTGTAATTGACAGTTGACACATAAAAAAGAGCTATTTATCGAAAACATATGTCACTCATTTACCACCAGAATTACACGTGAGTGGAATTATTCTAATTGCATCATTTGATTTAAAGTAACCAATCATTTTGTTAATTACACAAGTTCAGGGCCATGATCACGCGTTATTGTACATGATATTCACTTACCTTTAAAAGAAACCGGGGAACCCTGTAAGTCAGACTTGCATTAGATTCCAGAGATCGGGGGTACATCTGAGTTCCTAGACAGCCGAGAGGCTGGATAGGGTGGAGAAATGGTTTTAGCTATATAGTATTGTAATTTGTGCTATGCTTGTATACCTGTAATCAGTTACATGGTATATAAAATGTAGAAGCGAAATATTGCATTGTTATTCCTGGTAAGACAAACGTCTTAAGAAACTGGAAGAAGTAAATACACAACGTGAAGCAGAAGTAAAGACAGCTAGAGACAAATCCTAGACGATCACAAGGCTACAGAAATATGTAGTAAGAAAAGATGCATGGGTCGTACGTAGGATGTGGCGACCGGTTTCCCATGGACGCTCTCCACGTCAGACAGAAGGCTCATGGTGCTACACGGGAAGTCCGGGGTGGTAGTGAATGTTTCCCACAATTTTCGAGCTTGGTTTCCCCTGGTCAGTTGCGTGTATAACGGAGAGCATGACGGGAACAACGTCTAGTCGTTTAATGGGGAGAAAACAGAGGTCCTGTGTACACACTGGCGTGCACGTACAAGAAACATCTCAAATGTGTCCTAACCCTCAAATTTCCAAAAATCGTTTTAGTACATGTTTCTATCAAAGAATTCATGACGATTGATATGTAATATTTTTCTAACCGATATCTATTAATAGAACAGAACTATTTATAGATTGTTTAATAGAACAACATAACAAAATATTCGTGCTCATTTTGCTTATTAAACAAGTCTGGTCTAAGTGGGTTGTATCACTGTTATTTCCGAATATGCATTTTGCAGAACAAAGCTATACGTGGGTTTGATCATTCTTCTGGTAATTATGTTGATTATTAGTTAGATCTTTCTCTTCACACTGTCCATTTTCGGTTTAGGGTATTGGGTCACAATTTTCTTCCCAACCATTCCGACTTTGATGATAGAATGCGCATTGAAGTGCCACTGACACACTGACAAAGATCTCATCAAGCCCTCTTTGGACCAATCAGATCGCGCTACACTCTCGCCATGCTATTACGAGATTCGTATAGTCCCTTTCACACAAAACAAACTCCTCGCTAATAGCTCACCCGCTAATCATTGTGAAATATTGTAAAAGCGTAGCAGTAATGGAGTAGGAGCGTTGTGTCAGCGTGGCCTTCTACATCGTGGCAGCAACGTGGTTGAGAGCGGTGGGAACGTTGCTGTGCGACGCAAAGGTGTGTGCCAAGAGCGTAGGGGGGGGGGGTGGCATTGTGTACGCGTAGTCGGAACGTAGTCGGAACGTAGCCGGAACGTAGCCAGAACCTGAAATTGCCTTCACACTTAAAAGGTTTTCCGCATTTGACCACGACCTCGCCACACTCTATTTAGTTTTTGTGCATAGGATATCCAAAATTTGATGCACATTATTCCTGATGATAGCACACAGTTTTATAGTGGATTTGATAAAGACAAATGTATAAGAATAGACATTGTTAGCTTTAATGGAACCATAGACTTTGAATTGGAATTTAGTGATGAATAATTAGTTTAATCAATTGTATCATTTTGAGGCGAAATTACGCAAATTAAGTTTACACAAAAATGACCTAATCACATTTCATGCGTTACCATTGTTATTATTCCATATTTCAACTATTATTTTAGTACAGTTTAGTCCTATATTGTATCGCGCGCTGGTTTCGATTCTCCGGTTGTACGTGACAAGGAGTAGTGTCGCCTGTCCAACCTCGTGGGTTTCCTCAGGGTCCTTCGGTTTCCTCCCACTGCTAAAGACCCCTACGCGCAAGCGAATTATTGAAATAAAAATTGTACCATATGTTAGTCCCAAAATGACCTGGTAGGTGTCAAATGGACGTTAAATCCCATCTCTCTCTCTCTCTCTCTCTCTCTCTCTCTCCTATATTGTATTTCATGATGCTAACGTAATAAAGGTTTTCTGGAACTTTGAGGTTTTTTCTTTATTTGAATGGCTTCTATTTTCGGTGTTTTCTCAAAACTTCAAATTTGGTGTTTAATCAAAATTGAACTTTCTTTCCTATTGATTTGATAAAAAGTATTTCATTATTTTTTTTACAGAAATCTGCAGGGGAATAAAATACAATATTTATCGAAAGAAGTGTTTCAACACCTATCTAATTTACTATATTTGTAAGTATCTTAGACATATTGATATGGATCTGTGCTATTTACAGGATGGTCCATGTGTAATTATGATTGTCTGCGATTATAGATACAGATGTTAAACTACCAGTTACAAGTACTATTATGTAATTATGTCAGCGACATTAATTTTATTTTAGTTCAGAAAGTGTGCACTGGAACTCGAGGCAATTTCGCCGAAATGGCGGTCGAATTTCAGACATGTATAATGATGACTCTAATATGATGTGGTAAAATGTTTGTTAGCTGGTAGGTAAGTGAGGGGACGAATAACGTCAGAATTCTAGCCTCTTGACATATTCTAGTGTCGAGGCGTTTTATTGTATTATCACGGTTAGTCATATATCGTAACTTCCTTTTAGACAAGACTAGACATACTAAATGGATTAATTATTTCGCCCCACACAAGAAAGTTCAGTCTTGTATAAAATCTCCGTTCACAGACAACAAAAACCTTCTAAAAATTCCAATTATTAACCTACAATAGAACACATGCAATTTCCGTTTCTCTGCAATAAACTAGCACGGTGGGTGAAACAATTAACAATAGTAGGCCGTATTAAATCTCAGCTCAAAACAGTCTTGATTCAAAATCTTTATCTGTTCAATAATTGGTAAATATAAAAACCAGCAGTGCTTTAGGGAAACTTCTCTTCAATTTGAACGCGCTTTATAAATAAGGATATTATTATTAACTACAATTATTGTAATCACTCGATGGTTAGAGATTTTGACGTTTAAAATAAAACAGAGAAGTAGTTTTAAGGGGGAACTGTTAAGGCTATGGAAATTAAGGTTTTGTTGAAACTTGAGATACATGTTCTGCTTGTAACATAAGGAGGAGCTTCGTTATAATTCGCAATCACAGAGTTATTGCCCCTGCAGTTTGTTATCACAACATACTGGGTCGTCCTTGCCGTCGTTCAAAAATTGTTCGCTGCTTTTACCTCATGTTTTACTTTTTCAGATACCTATCAAATAATATAATTTCTTCTGTCGAAGCCAACACATTCAGTGCCTTAAATAAAGTAATATTATTGTAAGTATCCCGCAGTTTATTATTGAAAATGAAGCCAAAAGTTATCACATGTATATTATTTTCTGTGGTATTTCGTACTGCTTATAATAATAACAGTATAATTATCGCAATCAAATTAAATGCCCCTTATGAAAATGTTACATGATATATAACTGTAAAGATGCATTATGTAAGATTTAGATAAATAGCGGACCGTTCTTGCTACACTAGTTCAAAAATAGATAATGACAGATGGATTTGTTGCAATTTCATTTAAGTTACTTTATGAATGTTTGATGTTATGCGTGTTTGAAGTTTTGACAAGATAATAGTGTAAATAGTCTCCTCGATTGTCAAGTAGCAATTGTCACGATAATAAAGAACCACTTTAACGTTAAATTATTAAATGACACCGATGTTCTAATCTATTTCATATCTTGGACTTCAGATGGTCTAAGAGAGTTGATGGTCGTGTGAATTTATGTTACATTTGTAGTCCGAAAATGACTTGCAGTAGGCAGATATTATAGCTCCACATTTCGAAGCAATGACCCGAGAAATCCCTCTCTAAACATTGCAACACTTTGACGATGTTTGTCTATTTTATCGTCCAACCAAATCTCTCCTGACTTGTCGTAGTTGGAATCTATTCAGTTGAAACTATTGATACTGTGACAGTCCGCCTCTGTGGGGTACTTAATCATTTTTGATTTCATTTTTTTCCTTTGCTGCGCGGTGACAATGGTTGGAATAGAATCATTTGTCACACAAATATTTTTTTCTGAAATATTCTGCTATTCTCAAGCAAATCGCGCATAATGAGTTCTGCAGATTGGTACGTAATGTACGCACGAAAATCCAATAGATATATCTACCTACGCAACTTTAAGCAATAAAATGATCTGGAAACAAGAAAGTGGATATTGTGAGTTACGCGTTTAATTTGTTTTAAGCAATTATTAAGCTGGATGCGAAACAGGTTGAACTGTACTAGGCGACACGGATGTACGAGTATATTAACTATACCTGTCACTTAAAATATTCTGGCTTCATCAGAATAAAAAGTTCCACATAAAGGGGGCTGTACTCTTAAAAGGCCCCGAAGAAGAATTTACTTAAATATGGTCATTGACGAACAGGCTCCTATATTTGATAGTTCGCTACAGAGAAGAAGGGCTTGCAAATAAATGAACGAGCAGCAGATATCGTTTTGGAGCATGTCGATAAAAAAAGGAAAATAACGTTATTAATTTCAATATTAATTTTAATATGTTCTGTTGTTGTTCAGAAGACATTAAGGCACCTTACAAGTACTTAAATTGACATAAGAAAGGCTAATAATTTATTTCGGATTATTTATTATAAGGAACATCGATTAAGACGAAGTTAGAATTTCACAAATGATAATCCGGTGGTTCTTGTTTTGTTTTTTTTATTTTTAGGGAACTTACATCGAATCGTTTACGTTGGTCAGAAGATACGACGCAGGTTCTCAACGGGCTAAAGTCTGTTACTGAGATGTAAGCATATTATTCTTCTCAGTGTTTGATTGTAATGTGAATTTATCTGAAAATTTATCATTGAAAATCATGCTGCCGTCCTCAAAGAAGTGAATTTCTTTGATTTTGTTTTTTATTGAGGTGGAGGCCCATGGTTAGAAACATTACATATAAATCTTCATCAAAGATTATGTTCATAATCTCTTCTAAATGCAGTTTTTGTCTGCTTTCTACGGAATTGAAAAAAATATCTATTTTTATTTCATCTTCAGAAAGTTACAGAATAACTCCATTTCTGGTCTGCATGCAGGTTTATTTCACGAATGTCCGACGTTACAATATTTGTAAGTTATCAGCTTTCATTAATAATCAAATTTATCTACATCTAAGCTGAGATGGGATTCTCTTTTATCTTTTTTATATATTACAGACAACGGTGATTATAGAATCTGATATTTTACAAAACTACCGGTTTCAATAAATCATGGCCAATGCAGACCCAAACACAATTTGCGTTAGAAAACTTAGTCAAACGGCAAAGGCTTTCATTTGGGATTCATTTAGGTTGTTTAAAATCGAAAATGAAAAGTTCACCAAGATTCATTATATAATATTTAGATAAAGAGCTGGCCGTTCTTGCTATAAAAGTTCACAAATAGTTAATGGAAGATGAATTTATTAACAATGTATTCTCGATTGTCAAGTACATTGTTACAATAATAACCAAAGTCTCGGTTATCCATTTTTTAAATTAAATTATTAAATGGAGATCGTGTTTCAATCCATTGAAAATCGTGTTTATCCGATGGTCCAGAAAGTTGATTATTGACTTGTCATGTGAATAAAGGCCAAATTAATAACTTATATTAATAACACTTGAGGCCACACGAAAGACCTGCTATAGAGAGATTTAGCTCTTACAAAATGAATCTTTAACATTTCAATGAACAAATTATGTGTTGCTTGTCATACCCGTATTTTTTTTTTAAAAAATGTGTTAGCTTGAGAAGTGTTTGAAATATGTTTCATTTGTCTTCAGTTTATTGATCTAGCCAGCTTTATCCAGAACATAAATCCTTTACTAAATATGTTATTTATCTTGATAGATGTATGGAGTCGTGTTATTGAAGGCTTCATTATCTTGCTAATTAGAAACGAAATACAAACAGATTAGGAACATGATTAGGAAACGGATATCCAGTTTTGTTATTGTTTTCAAGGTGTACTGTTGAGGTCAGAATGATTGAGTGATAAGGAAATCTGATGTAGATATTCAAAATTTTACGAACCCGATACAGGACAAAGCTCTGGATGGCACATTTCCATACTTGCTATAAATAGAATATCAAAGAATAGACGCTGAGTAGTCTCCGTCTATGTATGTTTAATAAATCTTTCAGACATTTAGATAACAACAACCTAAAGCGGATTCCTGTTTCAAGTTGTATGCATCTACAGAAACTGACCGCTTTGTAAGTTTTATTACATACAATAACAGTATATGTTTGGTGTCTGGACGTCCCAATTACATAAATATCGATTTCAAGACTATACCTGGAAAACCTTTAACAATATGTCTTGACGAAGAAGTATTTTCTATTTTATGAAAAGTGCGGAATGAGCTCTAGGATTACAATACGTTAGCAAATTCCAACTATTCACTGTAAAATCTACGGGTTCGTCTCGGTGCATTATTTAATTTCCCTGTTCATACGAAATATCAATGTCTTGTTAGAAAAGAACGTTTTCGGCGACCCAAATAGCCCCAAGGGATAATCGTTTTTTTTTTAGCTTGCAGACAAACTGTTTTTTGTAACTTACAAAATTTAAGGAGCAGTCATGGATTTTGCCCCAATTGAACATATAGAGGCAAAAGGCAGGGCTTTAGTTAGTTACGCATGATTATAGAACAACAGTTTCATCCATATTTAACGACTTTTATTCAATAAAATAAAGCTGGGACAACTCCTTTAATCACTTCAAACACGGGTGATTCTTGTACACACTTAAAATTTTGAGGATTAACACCACCTCCTTGAATTATACATTTTTTTCCAGATATTTAGCTAATAATCAAATACAAGAAGTGGGTATGGATTTATCATATTTAATTCATCTACAATATTTGTAAGTATTGCCATTTTTGTATTAATTATTTGGGATGACGATCCTGGTCCATCGGACTTGTTAATCGAATGACGATCTACTATTGCTTGCTGCGGTGTCGTATGCGTCTATTAGGTTTGAAGTGGAAACGAGGGCGAAATTTAAAGAAAATTAATTGCATAAATTCACACAACATCGAAATAAAAATAAAAACCATTTCCTTTTTCTGTTCTGGCTGGCAGAACCTATGTAGCGAGGCGTATAAGAACTAAATAGTAAACAGTGATGAACATTTAGTTTAAAGATGCATTATGTAAGATTTAGATAAAGAGCTGACAGTAAGTTCTCGCTATAATAGTTTAAAATAGATAATGAAAATGGAATATACAAATGTATTGAAATTTTCAGTCAATTTAATCAATTTTGAGCTAAGTTATAACTGTTTAAGGAATAGTCTGTATTTACATTGCTACCATTGTTACGATAATAAACAAAGTCTCGATTTTCCATTCTTAAATTAAATTATTAAATTGCGATCGTGTTTCAATCCGTTTAAATTCACAACCGTCGGGTGGAGTTGGATGGCCGAATGGTTAGCGCGTGCGCGCTGTATCATAAGGTCTGTCATTGAGTTAACGGGTGGGGTTTCGATTCCCCAGTTGTGCGTGACAAGGAGTAGGGTCGCCTGTCCAACCTCGTGGGTTTTCTCCGGGTCCAAATTATTGTAATAAAATTGAACCATATGTTAGAAGCGAATGACCTAGTTTGTGTCGAGCTCTCTCTCCCCCCCTCTCTCTCTCTCTCTCTCTCTCTCTCTCTCTCCTCAACAATCCGATAACATCAACTAATTTAAAGAAAATTAATTGCATAAATTCACACAACATCGAAATAAAAATAAAAACCATTTCCTTTTTCTGTTCTGGCTGGCAGAACCTATGTAGCGAGGCGTATAAGAACTAAATAGTAAACAGTGATGAACATTTAGTTTAAAGATGCATTATGTAAGATTTAGATAAAGAGCTGACAGTAAGTTCTCGCTATAATAGTTTAAAATAGATAATGAAAATGGAATATACAAATGTATTGAAATTTTCAGTCAATTTAATCAATTTTGAGCTAAGTTATAACTGTTTAAGGAATAGTCTGTATTTACATTGCTACCATTGTTACGATAATAAACAAAGTCTCGATTTTCCATTCTTAAATTAAATTATTAAATTGCGATCGTGTTTCAATCCGTTTAAATTCACAACCGTCGGGTGGAGTTGGATGGCCGAATGGTTAGCGCGTGCGCGCTGTATCATAAGGTCTGTCATTGAGTTAACGGGTGGGGTTTCGATTCCCCAGTTGTGCGTGACAAGGAGTAGGGTCGCCTGTCCAACCTCGTGGGTTTTCTCCGGGTCCAAATTATTGTAATAAAATTGAACCATATGTTAGAAGCGAATGACCTAGTTTGTGTCGAGCTCTCTCTCCCCCCCTCTCTCTCTCTCTCTCTCTCTCTCTCTCTCTCCTCAACAATCCGATAACATCAACTAAAAGAAATGTGTTTTGCCATTTCAGATATTTAACCGGAAATCAGATAAGTAATGTTCACCCCAAATCTCTAGACAGAATTGAGTCACTGAGGGCTATGTAAGTTGAATATCTTTTAATCTAATTATTCTTTTAGATCTTTAGTTGTAATTTCGTCGTTTGACCTACACTACATGAATATCTAACTACTTATTATGTTGCCGTCCGTATCCGTCATTTCATTGGCTTGTGATCGCGATATTTACCTCACCTCTCATCCGCAACGTTTTATAAAAAAAAATTATGAACGCGATAGAGGCTACAGGTTCTTTTTTATTTTTTAACGAATTTTTATAATTAGGTGTGAAGCATTGTGGTCATGATATGAAAACCCTATCGATGTCAATCCTTCCGACACTTTCCGTTTCTCAATTACACGAATCTTCATCAAATATTGCTATCGTCCACGTTTCCATTTCGGATAAGTTACTGTTTACTATCTGATTTCGAGAGAAAGCTAAGTTGGGCGCATTTCCAAGTTTTGCTTATGTTCCTTCATTAATCTTGATCATCCGGACAAGACAAGCCACAATACTCTTAATTACTGGTTATCGACACTCAAATTGCTATTTATTATGGAAGCGTATAGGGGTCAATAATTTATACCCTTTACTGATTTTGTTTTTGTAATAATAAATAACTTTATCAGATTATAGTCATTATGTGAAAGATATATTAAAACAATTTAAGACAATGTCTGGCAATATCATTAGTATCCTGATTATCATACTATTCATTTATTGCTATGTATAATGGACACGATATCTTAGCATTTAAAGACCGACTACCGACTATATCTGGACAGTGCAACATAGGAATTTTCTGACATTATGCTGTATAATTTATTTATCCATCGATTCTGTGAAATATAAACCATTTTGCCACTCACACTGAATTAATTGGTATTAGATTCAGGGTGGACGTACCGGGTGCAGTGACATTTATGATGATACTGTGACCGGACAGACAGTTTTTTAGTATGTATGCGGTGATGAGTAACAACTATTTATAAGTTTAATCTTTTAATCTGTCGTATCGTGGCATAAATATTTTTAAGTGATATCATAACAAACAACGATGATAATCAAGGGAAAAAAGGGTGATGACATTGCTATCTGAAAAATACAAATAACAAGAAATACTTAAATTACTGACAATATAAACATGAAAAGTGAAGAAGGGGTTTTAAAATGGAAATAATTGTAATGGGAACGTGGCTTTAATGTTTGACTCATGCACAACGCTCACGCATTGAAACTGACAAATGCTCTCTTGAGTAATCGGGATTAACCATGAAATATGAATTAACATAAAATACCAAGTCAAAATATATTGTACTTTTACAATGAAAACTTAAAATAAATTGACTACCATGGTTAAAACTAAATTCTGAGTTGTTATATTATCACAGAATATACTCTAGCATAACTCTGTATGACCTGTCTTCTAAATCCTAAATGCAAAACGGATATGACTAAAGTCTAATACTTTTCCTAACCTTCGCAGAAACGCAGTCAAAAGTTAATAGTAAATGAAACAATTCAACTATCATAATATAATAATAGGATGGAAGAATACTGTATAATCACAATTAATTCACCATAAAATCCCAAATATTATAAAAGATATGTTCGTAAATAGGAAAAACAAACATATTCTAATGAACTTTTGACGAAAATGCATTTGTTTTACACCACGTGACCATATGAACTTCCGAGAAGAAAATCTTAGTGACATGTTAGGCCAACAATTTACAAACACTTTCTACCATTTTGACAAGTGACATTGCCAATTTTTGAGATTTAGGGAACAAGATAATAATGAATTAATTGCAATTGTAACAGTAAATGAATAATACCGAAATTAGAAACGAAAATCGACCGTAGTCCCAACTTTATCAAACAAACACACCATGACTGTCCATGCTTAGAAGGGACAGGGGGCCTTCAAACCGAGGTACAGTTCACTTGAAAGTAAATTTTATTAATTGACAATGTGGATTAAACAGGAAAAATAAAATGATATCACATCGCTTTGTGACCTGGTTACAATACAATTAGAAAATGTAGCGTAGATAAAACATCTTGGAGTCACCAAAGCTATAGTTTGGGTGTCATTACGTGTCAATTCGTCACCGACCATGAATGTATTCAAAGTACATGCAATCGCCATTACGTATATAATGTGCTTCAAGGAATCAAGTTAGATATAATTTAGTGAATAGACTGATCAGTTCTATGTGGGAGACAAGCCTTTATCTCAGTATTTTACAACTATCTGAATCTCTTGGGTACTATTTCGCACAAATTCCAGGTAGCTTGTTTAAAAATTTAAAAAAAAAAAACGAAAACACTATGATCACTAACGTGTTACAGTTACGCTACAGGGCCAACAACCCAGTATTCCTAATAAACGGTGGGTAATCTTTTGAAAAAGAAAATCGCGACAAGGTATTTTTTGCAAATTTGGAAGTAGAATCTCAAAAACACCGTGGAAGGACATACCAGTGAAGGGACAGTCGTGAGTGATGACACCATCCCCTCTATAATATCTCTAAATCAGGCAATATATCTTGCGCACATAGGTCACATGAATGTTGGCTGATCGGAGGCGATTAGAATGGTTTAATAACCAGAGGCATTATATATGCTGCGACTACATAAATATTTTAAAAATACTTTTACATTTTATACTTGAAATATTTGTGCTCTGGTTTATGAGTGTATGAGAAGGCGTGATTAGTGTACGCCATTTTGATATGTATTACAGGGAATTCTTTTAACGAAATAAAATGAAATTTTGACGTCCTAAGAGAATGTTATTTCTGACCTGACAATCTTCAAGAGTACATATTACGCTTTTGCCACTCTTATTAAGTCACTTATTATAAATCGCCTAGATCACCAAATCGTAATTTTTTTAGATACTAAAAACGGCATGGCACTTAACCCCTTGAAGGTTATTTTTTCCCTGTGCATTTAACCTCCACGGTTTAGCTCTTGTTGAAATTGTGATGACGGGCATCTTGAACAAACCTCTGACGTATATGGTATTATATGGTATCGACGCGTTCATAGAATATTTTGCTACACTACCTATTCATGATTATAATCAATGATACTGGTTAGCAACATATAACAAGTTTGTATCATTAATGTCACCATACATCAATATATTTCCAGATGGTTAAACAAAAATAATCTAAGTGGTTTGGCTGAAGATTTGTCAAATTTGTTTTACCAAATAAATGAAATGTGAGTACCAGTGAACAATTACGTGTATTGAACTAAGGCTGGGTATTAGTGCAGGTACAGTTGACCGCGTAGTTATACCATATTCGTTTGGTTACGAAACTCAGATGGCACTAACCAGAACCCGAGTTCGAATCGTTGAATGTGAATGGAATTCTAATCAGTTGACAGTTACACGTATTTAACCAAGATTGGCTTATTTGAGCTGACTAATATGGTTTCGTAGTATACCTTACTGGTTTGGTTACGAAACTGAGATTGATGGAACGAGATAACTCAAGTTTAGTGGAGAAGGCCTATTTTAATCTTTCAGGTTTGACCTCCTTGGGACTTACGCCAACTGTCTCTGTTTTCAGTACTTAGTACCATTTAAGTTTCGTCAACTGTAACGATACCTCGGGAACGCTTAAAAAAATTTTTTCTATACTGTTTTGTAGAAATTTGTTAGAGAATCCATGGAAATGTGATTGTCATTTGGTGTGGTTAGTTAGATGGTTTCAGCGAAAGACTAGCCTACTTAGTCCCACTTGTAACACGCCCCACCCTCTTGTATCGTGGACAGATATAAAACTGAGTGACATGAGATGTGCCATTGATTCAGGTAAATACATGTATAATATATATTCACTGTATCTATTCTCGCTACGATTAAAATCGTGGTTTTCATTGTGGAGTGATCGTGGCGATCCTTTCAGGTCTTATCATATCTTGAGGTCAGTTGTAGCAATCTTGATCATCGCTGTAGATCGTATTGGATCGCAACAAAGCGAGACAGATCGCACCTCATCGTGCTTCCAAATCGTGGTGATCGGGATCAGCCTTGGACAATACAGACACCACGCCCTGTTAAGATTTACTGCGATCTCTGTAGAATTATAGGAACGATGGAGTCAATGGTCAGTCGGACTGTATATATACCCGTCAGGGTCCAATCCTGACTCGAATCGTGATCACTCTCTGTCCCAATCGTCAAAGACATCGCGACCACAATCGTATCGTAACGCAAAGTAGCGCTTCGGTTCCTGATGATCGCATGGAAACGTATCCGAACGTATCTCAACGTACCAGATCGTGGACTCAAAACGGAAAATCCTATTAGAACGCATCTGGTCGTATCTGAACGTGAAACCAGATCGTGACAGATCGTTTCATCTGAAATTGAGCAGTCGTTACCATATCGCACCCAAGCGCACCCAACCGTACCAGAACGTTTAGTGGATCGTCATGATTTTCAAATTGTCGAATTGCTGACAGAATCGGAGTCGCCAAAACATGCCAGATTGTGAATTTGAGCAGAAATAGAAAATGGACGAGATGGGTAAAACTAATAATGCAGGCTCGTCATGTAACTGGTTTTAAAATACAGATGTGACGTCATCCTTTGATGTGGGCGTACCATTATTTCAAATTTTTCCAGCGTGATGCCCCCCTTGTCAGTGATGCAGGACGGAGGGCCTGAGATGGACAGCTATCTAACCGTTCGGATGGGACGAAAAACCGAGGTCCCGTGTACACATTGGCGTGCACTTAAAACATCCCTTGACGGTTGGAATTTGATATAAGAGTGCCGTAGTGCCGCTGTCCGGGGAAAATTTCCTCCATAGCACACTGTATGGCGTATGCCCGTCTTCATGATACGGACAATGTGCCAAGCGTACATTATTTATACAGGTAGAATATTGGACCGGCGTGACGTATTTTATTGAAATGCCGGTGCTGGATAGTGTCTGTATTTTAAGTAGTTTAATGGTCTCATCCAAGACATTGCGTAATATATAGATATAGCACTTGTGCTAACACACTCGTGCAGTATCAATATATTACGTAATGTCTCGCACTCGACCATTAAATTATACATAATAGTTTCGCCAGTCTTCCACAGAGACTTGGGTATTTTTATCTTGGATAGAGGAAATTTAATAATTTTTCATCGGCTAGTTGGGAAAATGACTGTTGGAGCTCTTTATCTGACGTGGTTATAACGTGGCGCATGTCACAGGGTTTGAAATACATTTTTGTGGACATCATGAGTTTTCACCTTTTTTTTCATTTTATTAAAAGCCACAAAATCTACTTTCTTTATACAATTCCGCCAGTCTTATGCAGGGAGCCGTCCATCTACAATTCTCTAAAACACTCTACAGACAAGAGCTATTGGGATACTGCTGAGTTGTTCGGTTAGTCCTGTTGGGGAACCATATCTTAATTCTGATATTTCACAGAGTTGTTGCCCCTGTCTTCGAGAGTCTTTAAACGTTCTACGAGCCAGAGATTTTGAAATGAAATGGGCTTAAACATACTACTTTTCTACACCTTTGTGGCTTTGAGCAAACAAATATGTCGCTATCAGACAATAACCTAATTGCTGAAAACAGACTACTTTCAATTTATTTTCTTCATCGAAGGCCCGGCCCGATTAGCCATACCACGCACATGGTTTCGCAATAGTCACGGTCATCAAGCGATTCTTATTGTATATAATTATGCTTGCTCGATTCCCCATTATGGTATGGTGTCTTATTGTATGCCAGGTTGATTTCCGCCCATGTCGTCATTATGTTCCGGTTCGATGAATTTCGAGAAATGTTTTTGGAGAAATGTTTTGCAAGATTTGTATTTGGAGATTTGTATTTGGAAATTTGTTGTTTGAGATTTGTTTTTCGTTGTATGATGAAATGTAAATGTAGGCTAAATGTTATCTTAATATTAAACTACAATTAAATGAAACAAAAGTAGGCTTAGAATTTACAAATCTGATATGACAAAATGTCTGATTTGTAAAACAAATATTGATTTTAAGACACAGATGTTAATTTTAGTGTATTAATGTCCGAATACGACAGTAAATGAAGAAAAGATTAGATAAATTTGTTTAAAAAAATGTAAAAATGTATGTTATGTTGTATGTATACACAAGTTAAGTACTACTAACATAAACAGGAAAAGTTTATTATATTCATCTATATCATATATTTGGCACATCTATACAATACTTTTAACTTTCAGTTATATTTAAAGCTAATTTAAATTAAATGATTGTGTATTCAGATTCGAATTAAGGACTATGAATTAAGAATTAAGAACTAAGAAAACTTATAATTGACGAACACGTCAACCAGTATACAAGTGGACCTCGGTTTTTCGTGTCACCCCTAAAACTAGATGTTTTATTCCTTGCCATTCCCGCAGCACTGACTTGGGAAACTAGGCTGGAAATCTCGAGAAACTTTCTCCGCCTACATCGAGCCAAGAGACCCTAGGGCTAATGAGTCAACGCCATATTCACATGCCAAGTTTTTACACTGATACATTCGCTTAGGTTGTTGTTTTACATAATCTCGAACTGTGGGTGTTACCGCCTGTATGCCGTCTTCATTAGGCCAGTCGGTGCAAGAAAACTAGGACATTAAACCCCATATAATTTCATTCATTATACCACATGTATGGTATTTCATCCTAGCATATAACCGCAATTATTCCTGAATTTTTTCTTATTTTGTTAAAAATGATGGAAAACTATTAGGATTCTATAGATTTTCAGTAATTAATTTTAAACATCCAATTAGCCTTTCGGCTGTTATCAGAATTCAGACTTTTTGAGTGAATCGTTATGTAAGCTTAAGTATGCACACAAAACATTAAGAAAACGTCAATCATATCGTGTGCGTGACTAAGCTTTGATTGCGACGAAGCTTTTCAAAAGAGGAAGTCGTTGTGTTGGGACAAGAAAACTAATAAAACAGTAATGGAATACAGAACAAGTAATGTGTCCAAGGAACACTAACATGTTTACTTTGGACTGTCCGTTGTGAATTGAATTTAACGTACATTGACAAACCTTCACACAAATATGTGGACAAACCTCTACGCGATATAAGCGTCTGGAAAACAAGATCTCAATCTGATTTAAACACAGATGCTACTTCGTTTCGTTTTGTATAGTTCGAAATTTCGTTTTACTTGTCTTTACTACACTAGGATCTACAAGAGTTGTTATATAACCCGCGTTCTGGATGATGTGAGGGGTTAGCCAAAGAAACGGTGAGTTATTAGCGTGAGGTGCACGGATCTGTGCGTAACCCAATAGAAACAGCAACGCTGATTGGTTAATCAAATGTCTGATGTCATAGGGTGAAATGCCGCTCGTATGACCTCTGACGCGACCTTCCAGTACAACTGGTCAGATCTTTGTGTAGTGTAGGCCATCGAAAGTATAAAAAAAACGCAACGAAATATAGATCTGTATTTTAATCAGATTGGCAAGTTCTATATCATTGGCGGAGTTATAATGGTAGCAAACTCATACACATTTAAAATGAAATTCCTTTATTACGAATGGCTCAATATTTACATTCGAAATTGCCAGATCTGGTAATGACGTTTGCTTGGCATAATTAAACTAACTTTTATTCACCGTGTCCTGTGAAATCTTGGAATCTCCATTTACGAATAATTTAGTTAAATTGGCAATGAATTTATTCATATCAGAATAAATTAATGCTAAGCTTTGAATGTGAATTTTAGTTTAGAAATTTTAAGCTCCGGTAGTTGCAGTATTTTAAAATAAAACCCATTGTTTTTCTGTTTATATCGTGACTTAGTAAACAAATGTTTTCTTGGTTGACAGCCAATCTAAGACTGAGAGCTTTCAAACCTTGTATTTAAACCTTAGTTTTAACATTAAAAAAACCCCACTGATGACCATAGAATACACTGTTTTACATCCATGTATAACTGGACGTGGTAGTTGTGGAAAAACCCTTTACATCGAATTAACAAAACAGATTATTATTATCAATCTGTTATAACCGGAGGCTTGTCACAAACATCATTAAAAACAAGAAACAAGCGTAAAAAATAACAATCAGCAGTAAATATAATAGAGCTGAGGAGAGCATTTCTTTCTAAAACAAAAAGAAAATAAGAACACTGTTTTTAAAGCAACTGCGTGCAGTTAATGTGATAGATCTACCAAAGCCTAATCTTTAGCCACAGATTATTAAGTAATTAAGTTATTTTGATCACTGTTTGAACAATTAATTGCCTTTCACATGTCAACACAAAAGCAGTAATATCTATAGACACGTGAATCCGTGTAGAAACTATGAAATCCAAATTCAAAGCAGTGAATGTTGGGTACGGGGTTCTTACTCTACAAACTGTAATAATATAGCTAGAATTTTTGCTCTTGAAATTAATGGTGCAGGCAGTATATTTCATTAATTAATATATTTGGCAAATTAATAGTTTCACACATATTCACATATATATTATATATAGTGTGTACTAAATCAACTTAGTCTGTAATTGACAGTTGACACATAAAAAGAGTTATTTAACCAAAACATGTGTCTATAAAATACCACGAGATATTACGTGCGTGGAAATATTCTAATTGCATCATTTAGCTTAATTTAACTAATCGTTTTGTTAATTACACAAGTTCAGGGCCATGAACACGCTCTGCTGTGCGTGATATGCATGGGCGCTATAAAGGAAATCATAGCAAACTTTTAAGTCAGACTTCCATTATATTCCAGAGAGGTTCCATCTGAGTTCATAGACAACCGCGAGGCTGGCTAGGGCGGAGAGATGGTTTTAGCTAGTATTGTAATCTGTGCTATGCTTGTATACATGTATTCGGCTATATATATATATAATGTAAAAACGAACTGTTGCATTGTTATAACTGAGGAAGACAAACGTCTTAAGAAACCAGTAAGAAGCAAACGCACAACGTGAAGGAGAAGCGAAGACAGATAGAAACAAATTCTAGACGATCACAAGGCTACAGAAATATGTAGTAAGAAAAGATGCATGGGTCGTACGTAGGATGTGGCGACCGGTTTTAGTACGTGCCCGCTCTTTACGTCTGACTAAAGACTCGTGGTACTACAAAACGCCACATCTAATTGCTTTGGAAACTGAACAGAACAATGACGCTGAGGTGTTATGCTGGTGATTATAATGAAATCATTGCACCATGATACCCGTCTACTATTTAAATGGTTAAATAATTTAGCTCCTGTTTACCTCACAGATCTTTTAGAACTTTATACACTTGGTCGAACATTACGTACATAGCGATGAACTACTTCTGAAGAACAAATCTGTCCAACTAGATTCTTATAGTCTGCACTCTTTTAATTATCAAGCCCATGTTTTATGGAATAGTCTACCTTTTAGTTTAGGACCCTGCACATCTCTAAATTCTTTTAAAAAAAACAACTTCTTCTATGCTTTATTGAGAACGAGGACCTTCGAAGCTAAACAGTAAGTTGTAGAAACGAACTAACCTGTAGTTTTATTTACGATCACAAAGGAAACACAACAAGGACGTCCGATATTACTACAGGTTTATGACTTCAATTATTCTTGAAAACTTAATTAAACTTATGATTTATTTGACAACTGCAAAGAATTATGGCGCTGAATTTTTACGCTGGTGATCATAACGGAATTATTGGCGCCGTTTTTATACGCCCACATTTTTATGTGGACGTATATTGTCGTCGCCCCTGTCCGTCCGTCCGGGCGTTCGTCCGTCCGAGCGTTCGTCCGTCCACAATTTGTTTGCGGATACTCTACAGGTCACAATTTTTATCCGATTTAGACGAAACTTAAAATATAGGTCTATCTCCCAAAGATCCCAGTTCCTTTCGATATTGGCATGTATTGGACCATAACTTCATCGATTATGGCCCCTGATTGTACAAAAAATCACGTTTTTAGCTTGTGGAAATTCGAGAGGTCACAATTTTGATCCGATTTTGATGAAACTTGAATGCATGTTTATAACCCAAAGATCTTGGTTCCTTTCGATATTCGCGCACATCGGATTGTAACTTCCTGATTTATGGGCAATGATTGTACGAAAAATCGCGTTTTTAGCTTGTGGTCCCTCTAGAGGGCACACTTTTTCTCCAATTTAAAAAACCGTTACACCCTAATGATGGTTGAGTTCGAATTTCGTGTAAATCGACCTCTAGAGGTCACAATTTTTATCCAATTTAAAAAACCGTTACACTCTAATGATGGTTGAGTTCAAATTTCGTGAAAATCGGACCAAAACTGCCGGGCAAAATAGCCGCCCCTTGTACGCAAATAGTGTAAAATATGGCATATCAAGGTTGTGGACGCTCTAGAGGTCACAATTTTCATCTGATTTGGATGAAACTTGGAATACATGTTTATATCCCAAAGATCTTGGTACCTTTCGATATTTGCGCATATCTGATCGTAACTTCCTGAATTATGGCCCCTAATCCGATGTGCGCGAATATCGAAAGGTACCAAGATCTTTGGGTTGTAAACATGCATTTAAAGTTTCATCAAAATCGGCACAAAATTGTGACCTCCAGAAGGCTCACAACCTGTGTACCAGATGTTTACACTATTTGCGTACAAGGGGCGGCCATTTTGTCTAGCAGTTTTGGTCCGATTTTCACGAAATTCGAACTCAACCTTCATTACGGTGTAACGGTGATATATTCAAATGGTGTTTCAAATCGGATAATAATTGTGACCTCTAGAGCGACCCCAAGCTAAAAACACCATTTTTCGTACAATTAGGGGCCATAATTCAGGAAGTTACGATCCGACATGCACGACTATCGAAAGCAACGAAGATCTTTGGGTTATAAACATGCATAATTTCAAGTTTCATCAAAATCGGATTAAAATTGTGACCTCTACAGAGTCCACAGCATTGATATACCATATTTTTACATTATTTAAGAACGAGGGGTGGCCATTTTGTCTGTCAGTTTTGAGCCGATTTTCACGAAAATCGAACTCAACCATCCCTAGGGTATAAAGCTGATATGTTAATACGTTTTTTTTTTAAATCGGATACAAATTATGACCTCTATAGGGTCCACAAGCCAAAAACGCAATTTTTCGTACAATCAGGGGCCATAATTCAGGAAGTTACGATTCGATATCGAAATTATCTGGGATCTTTGGGTTATAAACTTACATTTCAAGTTTCAACAAAATCGGATAAAAATTGTGACCTCTATAGGGTCCACAACTTTGATATACCATATTTTTACGCTATTTGAGAACGATGGGCTGCCATTTTGTCAATGTCAGTCAGTTTTGGTCCGATTTTCACGAAATTCGAACTCAGCCACCCTTAGGGTGTAATGGTGATTTTATTTTTAAATCGGATAAAAAGTATGACCTCTGTAGGATCCACAAGCTAAAAACACGATTTTTCGTACAATCAGGGGCCATAATTCAGGAATTTATGGCGAATATCGAAAGGAACCGAGATCTGTGGGTTATAAACATGCATTTCAAGTTTCATCAAAATCAGATGAGAATTGTTACCTCCAGAGGGTCCACAACCATAATACGCAATATTTTGACACTATTTGCGAACGAGGGGCGGCCATTTTGTCCGTCAGTTTCGGTCCGATTTTTATGAAATTTGAGCTCAACCATCCTTAGGGTGTAACGGTGATCAAACGCTTTTTTGCATCGGATAAAATTGTAACCTCTATTGGGTCCACAAGCTAAAAATTCAGCAAGTTATGGTCCGATACATGCCAATAACGAAAGAAACCGAGATCTTGGGGAGATAAACCCATATTTCAAGTTTCGTGGAAATCGGATAAGAATTGTGACCTGTGGAGTGTTCACAAACGCCATAATTCAGGAAGTTATGGTCCAATACATGCCAATATCGAAAGGAACCGAGATCTTGGGGAGATAAACCCATATTTCAAGTTTCGTTGAAATCGGATAAGAATTGTGACCTGTGGAGTGTTCACAAACAATTGTGGACGTACGTCCGGACGGTCGGACGGACAGGGGCGATGACAATATACGTCCACATCAAAATGTGGGCGCATAAAAAACGTTTTATTATATCACCGTTGCACCTAGTCCGCAAATAGTATGAACATCTGGTATATCAAGGTTGTGGACCTCCCAGAGGTCACAATTTTGATCCGATTTTGATGAAACTTGAAATGCATGTTTATAACCCAAAGATCTTGGTTCCTTTCAATATTCGCGCATATCGAATAGTAACTTCCTGAATTATGGCCCCTGATTGTACGAAAAATCGCGTTTTGAGATTGTGGTCCCTATAGGGGTCACAACTTTTATCCGATTTGAAAAAAACTGTGTGAATATATAGAGAATCTACCAGTCTTTTTTGATATCAAAAAAGACGAGTAGGAGATTTTATTTATCACCCAATCCCTTCTTACATGCACAAATAGAAAAATATAATTCTTTGCTGTAGATTTCACTTTTACTGAACATTACGGCGTAGTGATACACCATTTTTTAACAGCAATTCAATCATTACAAAGTCCTTTATATTGGCCCAGTGTTTCCATCAAGGTCAAATGAATAACAATAGTTCATTTTTAATAAAAAAAAAGTTACTTTTAATAAAAAATGAATTGTCCTAAGGGGATATCGCAGTAGATTATGAAATATATCATACAAGCGATATATATCTACTTTAGAATGTATTATTGGATGATAAATCACAGTTATACACTAATGATGGTTGAGTTCAAATTTCGTGAAAATCAGACAAAAACTGACGGACATAATGGCCGTCCCTTAAGTACGCACATAGTGTAAAAAATATGGTATATCAAGGTTGTGGACCCTCTAGAGGCCACAGTTTTTATCCGATTTGGATGAAACTTTAAATATATGTTTTATCACATAGATCTTGTTTCCGTTTGATAATCACACATATCCGAACGTAACTCCTGGATTCTCTAGAGATCACAATTTTATTTCCGATATATCACCATTCCACCATAGTGAATTTCGAATTGGAATTTCGGGAAAATCGAAATGAAACTGCCTCACAAAATGGCCGCTCTTTGTACGCGAATTTTGTATAAGTATGTAATACAAAGGTTATGGATCCTCTAGAGGTCAAAATTTTTATCCAATTTTGATGAAACTTAAAAGATATCTTTATATTCCAAAAACTCAGTCCCTTGTGATATTTGTGTATTTCAGACCATAACTTTCTGGATTATGGCCTCTGATTGTACAAGAAATCGTTTTTCGTTTTTAGCTTGTTCTCTGTCCATCTCTTGCAAAATGTAGGCGTATCCTGCCTGGCAACCACTGGTTGCTGTAATATTTCACAAATAGATAATTAAAAAGACATACCGTCAGTCAAATTATTAAATTATAAATGTCCAAATAATAATTTATTTGACACTTGAAGCCATAAAAAGACATTAGGCAGATTTAGCTCTTACATAATACAATCTTAATATAATTTATTAATATTTGTGTTAATCTTTAAAGCATGTACAGGTTCCAAACTACAAACAAGTTGCGCCTACTGTCCAGCATTTGAGTACTTAAACCAGGCTGGTAAATGTGTCTGTCTAGATGGTTATGAACGACCACATCATTCAACATCATGTACAGGTAAGAAATATTGCTTCGTATGCGTGTACGCCCACCAAATGTCTTTTTAGGTTGGGTTTACACTGTCGACGTCCTTTCACAAAGTTTTGAATTTGATCCGAGTTCTTCTGGATAGCGTTTAGAACCTCGAATATATAGTCAGCAAATCGGATAGCTCCAAAATCAACATGAATTTCTGACAAAAATATCGACAGTGTAGACCCGCTTCTATCCAGATAATATCTGGAAATTGGTCAGATTTTCAGCTTCTTGGTAAAAGGTTGACAGTGTAAACCCGGCAGTAGATTAAAACACGTATGGTAATAGGATCTGAATAGAACCGAGCGGATTTATAAGGGTTGGATTTTTACTCATAGAGGAGCCACGGTTGAGTAAGACACTGGCTTGCTTGTCTGGCAATTTCAGCTGTCTAGTCGCTCGAATGGGGCGAAACACCGAGGTCCCGTGTACGCATTGGCGTGCACGTAAAAGATCACTTGGCAGTTAGAATTCGATATAGAGTAGGCCTTAGCCCCGCTGTCCGGCCAAATTTCCCTTATAGTACATTGCATGGCATATGGCCGTCTTCATTAACCCAGTCGGAGGAGAACAGTAGGACTTTAAACCCCATTTTTACTCATAGCGCCGCAATCATAAAGATGCGGTTTCAGAGTTTAGTGGGTTTACAATTTCTACAATGTGGTCGATTCTGAGGTGACCACGAGCGCGTCGCTAGGGTGAACACGCAAGAGACAACTTAACTGGATTATTCGTCGATCAATGTTACATAATGGCGAAATCTATACCCATCCCAACTTTGGATTTGAACATCAACAGTAAAAGAAGCTGTCGGATGATTATTTATGCCAACACAGTATCTTGCTTAGTTTGATCAAAGCACGTATAATACAACAACACACTGAACGAATTGAAAATGGCCATTTATTAATATATCATATTAATAAATAACAAGGTACAAAAATATATATAAATATGATTGTAATGATTATTGAACAATTTCTAATACAATTTCAAATACGAGAACATGTATAATAACAATCAGATTATCTTATACTGTATGCGCAAACAAGCCCCCCCCCCCACACACACACACACACACACCCACCCACACACCCACACACACACAAACACACACACACAACCCCTGGATAGGCTGCTGTAGAGTATGCTTGTGATTAACTTCAGCGTCTAGAGTACTTACCTCTGGTCAACAAATTGACAACTTCAAAATTATTTGTCTGTCACCCGATTTTTTCCAGCTTTTCTTGCAAAGGACACACTATTGCTTAACTACATTGTTTATTGCGTACTGGGAAACTTCTGCTCTATTCTTCTTTAGCAGCAAAATATTAAAATTTTGACATTGTCCGATTTGTTTATTGCGCATTGGGTAACTCCTGCTCTAATCTTCTTCATCAGCAAAATGTTACAGATAAACATCGGCAGAATGAAATGGGAATTTCGATCAGATTTTGACAGAGTGTCATTTCCTATTGAAGGTCAGACTATATCTGGAGGGTAAATCAATGTTTTGCGTTTTCCTTCTGTAGTCTAAAACCACGTGTAATCAAAATCATTTTAATCTGTGAATAACCATGGTTATCGTTGTCACCATTGTGATATGTAGCTTATAATAAACGTATAATATGTAAGAGCCAAATCTGTCTATTTGCAGGTCTTTCTTCGGGCATCATATTGTGTTATATGAATTGATATTTAAATATTTATTCACATAATCAACGCTCTAGATCCACTGGATGGTTTAGACCAATGATACTTGACAATTGAGACTATTTTGTCAAAACTTCAAACACCCATAAAGAAATTAATTTGTATGAATGTTTGAATATATTAATTTTTCAGTGTCTATTTTTGAACTATTATAGCGAGAACTGTCAGTTACATAACGCATCTTTAATTATTCATAATACACAGTCTGGCAATTACCGAACAAAGGCGACCAAATTTTAAATTAGAACTCATCAGTACGAATTCTAAACATGAAATACTGATCAAATTCCTTATCTAGAGACATGTGATAATTAAAGAAACAGCTAGTAGAATTAATTGAATGCGTTTGCTCGTCAATGCTAATTACCGTCTGGGCTCTTCAAGCACCCATCACACCAAACTAGTTCTCAATACGTTCTGCAAAATCTTACCATACTGCGTGCGAACGGAGTGAACGTAGTAGCAACTGTTTACGATTTTTAAGAACTGCATGGACGGGTGTGGGACGGTAAGAAGTCGCCAACACGCACACCAAGCAAAATGCAAATCACATTTGGATCTACAATACGCGTAAAAAACGGCCTGGCTAAAGTATCAAATACGTCATTGAAAATTGGTTATCAATCTCAACAATAGGACTCGAACCCATGACCACTCCCGTGTAAGTCCCTACCCCCTCACCCCCTACCCCCCACTTACATCATACAATATCATTCCACTCAGCCACTGGCCGCCCTACAAATTCTCAAGAATATTATTTTTTTAGACTCTCCCTTTCAGAGTAAGACATCCGTCCGCCAGCATTCTATGTCGGTGTACTTTTCCATTCGACCAATTGTTTTCTAAAAATAACATTCTTGAGAAAAGAAAAGTGGGGGGGGGGGGGCGCTTCGAAATTACAAAGGGGAGATTTAAGACATCCAGCACAGGTTGTTTTTTAAGGAGTCATTACTGAGTTTGGTGATCTTGAAACATTTCACAACTGAATATAGTGACGATAATAAACTCCCCACCCAGTTTGGTTTCAAAATGTTAACTTTCAAAATTTATCGAAACAGAATTATTTGATTTGATATTTGATATTTGTTTATTTTTTTCAATGTCTATATTCTGTCTTGTCCACAGGTTTATCTTGTAGATTTTGTTTTACGTGTAGTGCGGTCCTCCTGCACTTACTATTAGTATACAGTTATTTATATGAAGGCTTGGAAATAGATTGCATTGTCTGAAGACCAGGGGCAAGTTTCACGAAATTTTAACTAAGATAAAATCCAAATTTTAGTAATTTGATTGGATAAAATTAGATTGATTTTAGTGCTTAGCCAATCAAAATTGAAGTATCTACTAAAATTTGGATTTTATTTAGTTAAAATTTCGTGAAACATGCCCCAGGGCAGCATTTCAGGTGTGTCATATGATCTAACCATGAACACAAAACGTGACAGATTTCACAAATCGCTAGCAAGAATGGAATTCGGTTGGAAAAGTTTGAGAAACATACAAAGACAATGCTTGGAAGTGCAACAATTATTTGGACATTGAAAGCTTATAACTTTACCAGTTGTCGCCATGGCAAAGTTTGTATCCCTTTAAAAGAAACGTCACAGTTTAGCAACCAATTGTATAGCAAGAAAACCCAAACTAGTATATATTTCAGCGTTGATGCGGAGATTATATTATAGTCAGACCATTGCAATTCCCAGCGTGCATAATTAGTTCTTAATTACATAAAATAAAGTAGTCAAAACTGACGAAAATAGATTATTTTTTTTTTTTAAAAAAAACCCAGTTATTATAGATTATAGAATATAATAGTAAGTGCAGGGGGACTGTACTGCACGCAAACAAAACCGATAAGACAAACTTAGGTGAATGGCTTATAATGTATTTCATATCAACGTTTTGGGTAGCATCGTCGGTCGACTATGAAACCAAAGCTACCAGTTTGCCAAAAAAGACTTGTAGAACCCTATATTACAAGTAGAAATCTCCGTTCTCAGAAAAAAAACCAAAAAACATCTTCTAAAATCTCCAGCCATTAACTTACAACTTGGAAAACGTGCCTTTTCCTACGCTGGTCCTTTTCTATGGAATAGACCACCACAATCAATAAAACAATCACCGTCTGTGGACCATTTTAAATCTCAACTCAAAACATTCCTATTTCAAAACCCTGATCTGTAAATAATTAGTGAATATAAAAACCAACAGCACCTTAGAAACTGTTTTCTTCAGTATTAACGCGCTTTATAAATGACGATATAGTCCAGGCAAGATAGCAAAAGTGCGGGCAGTTGCTGCAATAGAAATGCCGATCACGGTTTATGGTCGGTTTAGACGTATATTATGACCCCAAAAAAGTCCCAGTCCGAAATCCGTGCCCAAATGGTTCAAATTGGCCAAAATCCAAAATGGCCTACGCTTTTGGCTTGTAAATTCCAATTTCCACCCAATTATCACAATATGATCGAGTTTGGTATCAAAATATACGTTTTCGGGGTAACTGAATCCATTTCATACACATTTTTGTGATAAGTGTTACCGCTGAGTCAATATTAGGGGTTATTCAAGATGGTGGTCAGTTTTGGCGGGAAAACTCGAATTTTACATAAGGATCAAGTTTGGTGTCATAATATATGTTTTCGAGGTAGCTGAATCTATTTTTGTACATATTTTAGTGATTAAGTGATTCCCTGTGTCACTATAGGAGAAATTCTAATTTGGGATTTAAATTTCCGATTAGGGATTGGATATTAATGATACTCCTACCTTAGACCTAATACAATGACTTTCATCCAGTATCAACTAAATTTCATTTGGAGTGTCTTCCAGTTCACTGCGGTAGCGGCATAGGGGTATGTCGACTGGGGTCACTCTCAGGTTACTGCGAAAGCTGGTCGTGCCTTTTGAAGCATGTGGCACAAAATGATTAAGATGTTCAGACACAGATGGATACAACAGTATCACCTGTTTGTCAGATATGCAGTGAACCATTTGATAATGAACAACCCATAGTTATTTGTCAATGTTTTAAGGTTAATGAAGTGGAGGAGTCTGTATCAAGGTCTAGAGGGTCCGCGGTGCCAAAATTCATTTTTGCGGACCGTTGTCTTTTACATGGTCTGTAGGAAAGACTAGCGGACGGTTTATTACAACATATATAATCGGTGCCCGCTGTTACAACAGTAAACAGTAGAACTCGCAATGCCTATTTTTTTGAAAAGCCAAGGCAGGACAAATGACGACTTGACATTAATCTTGTTGTATTTAATAAATCAGCATTGAGGCTGGTGTCCCTAAATAGATGCCACTTATTAACTACTTGCACATCTAACTTATTTATAAAACATCTAGCACAGGAATTGTTCTTCACTCTGTGTAACCTAAGCAAAAAATGTAATTGCAGAGGCATGCTGGCCGACTACCCTGCCCTCATAAATGCAAAAACAAAATAAACTCGAAATGGTTGATAAAGCTCGAATCCACTGAGATTCCCTAACAAGGTATATGGGTGGGAGTGGGGGTGGTTATGTGCCTTCTCTTCCGAAAATGTGCCATCGAATATTATGCCCCCTTTTTCTGCTGCCCTTCCCTTGTTCCAACTAACTCCAGAGATACTACAAGTTCAATCAGACCATGATTTCCACGGATGACTTCCAAAATAGATTTTACAGACGGATTAATATTTCCATAATATTCAGAATCAACTAATTTGTCTTAGTTTTATTTATTTATATTAATGAATTTAGGAAAATTGCAACACGGGCGACGGGAACCATTATTGCCGATTAGCATACTCAGGGCCAATACGCAAACCGTCACAACGAATGACATTTAATCTGTCACCAGTTACTTCCTTGGCCTGGCTTAAAGTGTATTTTGATCGTCGTCTCGTTCATTCTACCTCCCTACCCCTACCCTCATTAGGGAACAGAATCAAATGAAACTTGGCAGGTACCCTTTGTAAGGAATACCAGTCCCTTTTGATGCTTGTTTTTCTTTACTCACAGGTCGTTTAGTTCTTGACTGCAGCTAACTATGTTCATGTTCGGATCTTTGTGACTTAATCATAATCCCTTAACCAAGTGTCAATGTATGGTATGTCATGGCATATACGTTAAATCGATTCTACCATGTGCCACAGAACTCAAATTTTCCCTAGCACGCCCTTGGCGTATTGTTGAACTTAGTCATGACTTTACACCAAGTTTTATTCTGTCCTCAATTCTCTGCCACTGAAATTGGTATCTCCGCTCATTATTGAACGTAAGCCAGGAATCTTAATCGGCTCATTATTGTCGGCCCCCAATACCCGTTATCTTTCTGTCATTTTGGGAATGACGATGGACAGTTCACTGCATATCTGACAAACAGGCGATATTGTATCCATCTGTGTCTCAACATTTGAATCATTTTCTGAAATAAATTCGCCACGTGCTTCAATAGGTTTGGCCATCATGGCTCAATTTTCGAGGTTGGTGATCGAAATCGGACACGCCCACGACACTGCGTCCACAGTGGGCTGAGAGTGACCCCTTTCCTCATGCCAGCTACGCTGCTTCCGTAGTGAGCAGTGGTCAACCAGAGCGTCTAAATGCAATTTAGTTGATGCTTGATGAATGTCATCGTATTAGATCTGAGGCGGACTCGACCACTCGTAATCCCCAAATCTCCAATGGGATTTCCCATTATTTGACCCAGGGGAACCAGTTAATTACCAAGATGAAAGAAATGTGTCGAAAATGAGATCAGCTGCTGCCTCCAAAACATATATTTTGACACCAAATGTGGTAATTTTGTAAAATTCGAATTTTCCCGCCAAAACTGGTCGCCATCTGGAATTATTTCCTAATAATGACTCCGCGGTTTAACTAATCACCAAAATGTGTATGGGAATGGATCCAGCTACCTCGAAAGGATATATTTTGATACCAAACTCAATCATATTATGGCAAGTGGATAAAAACAGGCATTTTCCAGTCAAAATCGGCGGCCATTTTGGATTTTTGCCAATTTGACCCATTTTGGCACGGATTTCGGACTGGGACTTTTTTTTGGTGATAATATACGTCTAGACCGACCATAAAACGTGGTCGGCATTTCTATTGCAGCAACTGCCCGAAATGGTGCGAAATTGAGTTAAAATGCCTGGACTAATATTATTATTATTATTAAATCGGACGTGTGTGTGATACCATCCCTGCAAAACATACGTTGTTTTGGCTAATGATTGTCTAGGTATGACTTCCAATATAAATGCGCAGCTCCCAAATCTTTAACTTCACTTTAGTTTCAATTATTGAATATTTGACGATGTAAGACATTTCTCCACAGAGTCGGCAACCAAATCATATGTATAAGGAACATAATGTTATTCTGTCTAAAACGTCTGGTTGACAGTTTGTCGCATCCCGTTTCATGATAAAGGGCTTCTTTACTCGTAAATTTGGGTAAAGTTGTAACTATACGAGCAGCTTCTAACTGGATTTTGTCTAGAAGAATACTATCGTGTTTGCTCCAGTTATCTCAGCCCGGACTAGAATATTCCAAGATCGATCTCATAGATTTTGTCTAATGTGTTTTGTTAAATTTGTACTTAAGTTTTCTTAAGATCTTTAATTGCTTTTCTGCGGTATTGCAAATTCTGTCAATATGGTTGCCCATTTTTATGCGCTCACATTTTCATGTGGACGTATATTGTCGTCGCCCCTGTCCGTCCGGACGCCTGTACACAATTTGTTTGTAAACACTCTACAGGTCACAAGTTTTATCTGATTTTGACGAAACTTGAAATATAGGTTTATCGCCAAACGACCCCGATTCCTTTCGATATTGACATGTATTGGACTGTAACTTTATATGGAGTATATTGTACGAAAAATCACTTTTTACCTTGTGGCCACTCTAGAGGTCACAATTTTTATCCGATTTTAAAACTGTTTAAATATATCACCGTTGCACCATAATGAAGAATGGGTTCGAATTTCGGGGAAATCAAAACGAAACTGCCCGACAAAATGGCCGCTCCTAGTACGCAAATAGTGTAAAAGTATGTAATACGAAGGTTGTTGCCCTTACAGAGGTCACAATTTTTGTCCGATTTTGGTGAAACTTAAAATATATGTTTATATTCCAAAGATCTTAGTTCTGTTCGATATTCGCGCATTTCAGAATATATGTTCCTGGAATATGGCCCCTGATTTCACGAAAACTCGCAGGTTGTCTTTAGCTTGTTCTCTATCCATCTCTTGCAAAATCTGAGTGTATCTTTCAACCGCTGGTAAATATTGCCTAGGTGTTTGTGGATCCGGACAATATCGAGTTCAATGCAATCCAATTTCCATATATTCTTATTTGAAAATAACAAGACTTTTGTCTTCTTGCAGCATGTGTTGATGACACCTCCAGTAAAAGTAGTGCCCCATGCACAAAATGCGAGAATCATTCCAGCACTCTTTCATACGCTTCAACGACGTGTTCCTGTCAACCTGGATACACATTCGACACACAAACCAAATGTACAGGTAAACTTGACCTAGGATGCCACTCTCGGTGATAGAGAAACGAATCCATAGAAATGAAATGCTACAGCATAAAATTAAAAATAGGGCGATAATCCCCAGCCCGAGTCACCTATCACTTCCACTATGCATAACAATATACATGTACCTTAAGCATGTACCTTAAGGCATTTTGATTGATCAAATATTATGAAACGGTTTCAGACAGTCAGACCTAGACAACAATACATATTGGGGGAATGATCATGTAATGGCATGCGCATGGTTATATAGACTCCCGCTCTAAGACAACCGTATACGAAATTAAAACCAAGATCTTTATTCATCGGCCCTTGTTTGCCACCTGAAATTAAATTCAAACTGGAATTTTACTCTATCCATTGTGGCACCTGAAATTAAATTCAAACTGGAATTTTACTCTATCCATTGTGGCATCGAATTTCCAATGATATTCGTTTCCCCATACCTAATAACACAATTAAGGATATACATGTACATTAAAGCATATTGCAGTTTTGGCTTAATTAATGACATATAAAATCATTAAGAATATGTGCGATGTTATGTTATATTAATAGCACGGCTTTCATGAGTTAACAGGCTTAACCAGAGGCCGAGAGCCGAGGCTTTAAACCTGTTAACGACTGAAGCGTGCTATAAATGACTTGTAACATTGACAACTGCTCAACATGCTTATTGTTATTGCACAGAAAACCCACCCCACTTCTCTTTATGATTTCTACTAAAACTAGTGTCAACCAGCAAAAGTGTGCAATAACATTCAACATGTCTAGTTATTGCACGATTAAGATCCATTCAATCTACTAGAGGGAAACAATCTGCTTATTCAACGAAAAGAACAAAGGAAGATTTCCCATCCATGCTACAATAATTTATGCCTGTTAAAAGCTTAGAGGGTAATATTACATCATTATCACCCAATAATAGATTCTACATGAATTTGATTGGTCAGTTAAAAAGGAACTACTTTTTTTTATTTTCAAAGAACAGTTCATTTTTTTTTATTAAAAGTAACTTCTTTTTTTTAAATTAAAAATAAATTATATTTATTTAATTGACCTTGATGGAAACACTCGCTCAATATACAGGACTTTGCAATGGTTGAATTGCTGTCAAAAAAATGATGTATCACTACGCCGTAATGTAATCAGGTTTAGTAAAAGTGAAATCTATAGCAAAGAATTATATTTATTTTATTTGTGCATGTGAGAAAGGATTGGGTGATATATAAAATCTCCTACTCATCTTTTTTGACATCAAATATAGATTCGTGGGAGATTCTCTATTTATCGGTTTTATACTTATAGAACCATAAAGGTCAACAATATTTACGTTAGGTCCAAAAAGGTTTCATATCCCAAATTTTGATTAATTAATGACATAAAAGTATTAATGATATTGTGAGTGTTACTATGTTGTATGCCCGTTAAGATATATATATTGTCCACTATCTCATTATTAAATGCCTGATGATCCCCGTAGTGGGTGAAAGCGCTAGCTAAGATGATATTAGTTTTTTCTTTCTAAAAACCTAATATTTCTATATACTTTTACCTAAGAGTAGAATCTTTTATTCGAAATAAAGATGTTTTCGGAAAGAAAACTAGGTTTTTGCGAGTAATTTCCTCTCTATTAAGCTTCTTCAGGCAAACTTTACAAATAGGCATACGTAAACAGCGAGTGTTTTTAATATCTTAATAATACCATAGGGCTGTTGACCCCGCGGAAGGTCAAAATGAACTCCAATATTAACGTTACGTGTTTTATTGTATAATTGAACTTCACAAGATCCATTAGAATTGTTGTAAAGTAAAGATTTTTGTGGTTTTATTTCCAGCGTGTCCAGCTAATACCTATAAATCCAAATATGGAACCTATCCCTGTAATCCGTGCCCAAGATACAGTATTTCCCTTGTCGGAAGTAAGAGTTCCAGTCATTGTGTGTGCGAAAACTCCTCTAGTAATAAACACAGCTATAGAATACAAGTTTGCCTGCCTTTAATTAGTGGTAAGTTTATTAATGCAAGTAATTTGGAAACGATATGATAATATTATTGTTACTAGATATATTGAAAATTGATACTGAAGCCAAGCATTTAAGGTAATTATTTTTGTGGTGAATATTTATTACATCACTAACACCTTCAAAAATAATCTAAACACTGCATGGAATGTATAAAATTTGACCATTTTTGCTACCATGGATAAGAGATTACCACAATAAGACCAAACAAGTAAGATTGCAACTATTCTGAAGACGAAAACATTGAATTACCAATGTTAAAGATGCTGATTAAAAATAAGTCATTTCACACCTGATATCAATAAATTAAGTGAGTATGAGACCTAGAGAGGTTGAAAGAAGTGAAGTAAGAAGTTTCAGCTAAATATTAATGATGACTGATTCAGCTGTCGTGGCTAATTAATTTTATTGTTATTCTAATAATATGATCATAAATTAGTTTCTTTTTGGACCAGGGGCTGGCCTTCACGCACTACTGCACTTCAAGAAAACCTTAAGGCTCCGCCATTTCAAGTACAATCGAAATGAAACTTGGCAAGCTTTGTCCTTGGACAACTGCATATCATCCTTTGATTGATCTTACTGCCCAATTCAACATTGCGGCGATGATGTTATGATCTGTTTCTGGTCCGTAATACGCTAGTTCTTGTTTTTATTTTTATGTTATTAATTACGTTCTGGTAGTGTCTAACAAAATCTTCTAGACGCAGGTGTTCAGCTAACCATACCTGGCCTCTCATATGGCCAATAAATGATTAATGGTTAACACATGCGCGTTGTATCATAAAGTCTGTCATTGAGTCAAGTGGCGTTGTTTCGATTTCCAGGTTATACGTGACAAGAAATAGGGTCGTCTGTCCAACCTCGTGGAGTTTCTCTGGTTATTAGATGGAAAAGATCATTGGAATTGCTTGATTTTTTTATATTTTATATCTGTTAGAAATTCGATAATAATCAGGAAGGTGTTCGTGTAGCTCCAATCGACATAACAATTATCGCATAATAACATTCAAGGCTGTAAAAAAGCGAAAATTGCTCTGTTTTCCTTCCTCAAACATGTTTTTGTCCGAACATTTAGATTCTTCGCCCACGCAGCGCAAAACCCCGTTAAAACCAAAAAAAGCGAAGACCCTTTTTGGGGACCACTCCGTCAATTCAAGTCCGATCGACATGAAAATTAGCATGCTTCTTCTTTGAACAATTCTGCATCCATTTGGTGAATTAGGTATTTGATTTTCATCAAACAACCGTCCGTTTTATGGTAAATTGTACGACCTACAGTGTAAATAGTTAGGAATGTAATTGTAATGTGTGTGTACAGTTGACAATAACAAAAGAAAAATTGCTCAAGGTGGATTGCAGTGGACTTCTTTCCTGAAGTATTATGTACAATGTACATACCTCCTCACCAAAAAGCAATAATCATTTGTTTCGGATTTTTTTCCCATATATATGCATCAAAGATACGGCAACATTAATTTGAATATTTTTTCTCTGAAACATCTATTAAACTTTTTTTGCATCCTACATCTTCGGGGGAAACTAATTCAAAACAAAAGTACTTTGTTCTTCTCAAAATTTTTAAGTTCAAAACGTGTAAGTTTTTAAAAATTTAAAACAAAACATTGTGCACGAAACTCAAGTGGCTGCTTGACCGAAACTGGTGCTATTCCACGATTACTCGCAATGCATTTAGGCACGAATGGCTTTATACTCCGGTAGTAATGAGTTATTGATCCATCGTTTCACACTTTGATGATAACTCGATCACATCAAGGCCGTATTATATCTCATTTGATTAAAATGTTACGCTGAGGATATAAAAAAACGAGCCGGTAACCCACATTACATTTAGAAAAGTTTGAAAATCTCCCTAAACCATAAACTTTTGATAGAAGTCATAAAATTTTGTGATTGCATAACAGTAAAATTATTTACTTCTTCTTCCTGTTTATTTTTTCATAACAGTGAAATTATTGTCCTGTTTGGTTTTGATCTAATGTCTAATAAACATGGTAATTAACATTACAAATTTGTTGACGCAGTTTAAAATAACTGCAAATGATTATTTACGAGCCCAATGAAATTCTGTCATGTATTTATTAATGTTTTATTGCAAATAATTTATAGTCTGTTTAATATTTTTGCCAATCTCATTAAAACACAGATCTTATTCGTTTTGCTTTTTATATATCAAAATTGCGTTGAATGCCTTCGCTACAGTTGAGCAAACTGTTTCGCAATGGTAATGCGAAAGCCTTCTTTTTAACACAGCACAAGATGGCTGACCTTTAAGATTACGCCCAGTATAGTTCTGCGTTTGACGTCATATCATATGGCGTATATAACAATTTTGCAAGGGATTTTTGTTGGACAGTAGTTGATTTCGAGAACACCTGAGTTTTATTTAAAAAAAACTGAATATATTCTCTATGATAATAACATATACTATTATCATGTCAAAGTCACTTTTGATTTTTCACCTTTATGTCGAGGTATTATTTATTGTTGACACCCCCAACGTAGCTGGTGATTCTGCAGGTGGCCAATTCTTCAAGGTTACCATCTATCGAGTATTTAAACGAGTGGCTCAGCTGGTGGCCAATTCCAGCACATTATTCAGGATTTGGTAGTAACGCAGGTGAATGCGAGATATGATCTGCCCCGTGCAAGCCAAAAAACTAGTCAACACCCCACTCGCTTGAAAAACGGTCATCTCCTTGCTAGTTGGCCACCCAACTTAAACTTGCCTCTACGGTCGGAGGTATAGCGAAGAAATGGTCGGACGGAAAGTGGTCCGGTCTGATTTAGTGTCGAATCCCGAATAACGTGCTGGCTGGTCGAATAACGTGCCAACATCACCTTGCTACCAGCAATACAAGTAACGTTGACTGTAATTCACAGATCCTTAGATGTTCAGATGTTGAACAACCCGAGATGATGACAAATTTCCAATTTAATAAACTTACTCCTAGACTTAAAGGGACAATAACACTCTTGCTGGCTTGACAGCTTCAGTAAATAAATATTAGCCTTATTCTAAGCATTAGATGTTTAGGTGTCCTACCTGTTGTGTAAATTATCCATTACATCCTATTTTACTTGTCCAGAGGGTAAAAAATATTTTTAAATCCAAGTCACATTTGAAAAGGTTTACGTTAGGCTTTTCAAATCATTTAGTTGAATTTTTCCAATTTTTTAAATTAGGTGTGTTAAGATGAAATTTGTATCATCAATTAATTGGAATACTGTAAAATAGTACAATTTGTTGACCAGAATACAGATTGGGACATTATTCTGTTACAACAAGAGTGGTATAGAGCCTTTAATGTTATAAATAATCAAGAAATGTCTGTAAACTGGTTTTGAAACACTCAATTACTCAGCCCACGTTCTCCTGGTACAGTAATCATACAATTAATAACCTAATCTTTTTTTGTATGAATGGAATTCGACTGGAACAAAATAGCTGACTTTCAACCTAAGAAAACAAAATTTTTAATTGGATAGGAGCTGATAATGTTTTAATATTATCCAGAGACCACATATAAATTGATATTACAAAACTAATCATTAAAATGTAAATACGTGTCAAAATAATTGAATATTAAGCAGTTGTGTAAAACTATAAGCTTACAGTTATTGGAAATAGTTTAAAGTTGCAATTGCAAATTTTCAAGTTATATTTTTAAAATGTATTAAAATAAAGCCTTAAAATAGATGGTATCCATAAACAGTCCTACTTTGTTAAAGAATAATCCTATTAATCCTATAATTCGCTATTGCCAGCTGAGAAATTGGCAAAAATATCATTTTTAACTTCAAATTCCAACCTTGGAAAATGGCTGCCCCAAGTTGTCAATAGCAAAACAGGAGAGGTAATTGTGATGTTATTTCCTGTGTCATAGATTTTTAAGGGTGGGAAATAATGCCCATGATCGTATAATAGTGATTTGATAACCCATTGAGCAAAAGACATAGAAATGATTATGTTTTGACTTTCTTAGAAAATTTGAGATTCTCGCTTTAAAATTTAAAGTCTTCTTTTTAACTCGGTCATTTATAAAAACTATGAATGCATGAGATCTAGCGCTTTCTATTATTATCAGATAGTGGCTGCGGGGGCTATGAAAAGGCAACAACTAAAGACATATGTATAATGTCTATCCTAGAATACAATATTAACACGTTTGTCATGTTGCGCCGACAGACCTCCCGTCAGAGCTATTTAAACCGGGTTACGGAGATTCTGAACTATACAAAATACAATATGCACCTGTTTCTGATTGCTTTCTTTTATAACGTGTTTGTCATTATTTTAACATTACTAAAATATCTTAACAAATTAAAATGATCTCGTCTGATGTTTTTGTGTTTGTATAAATATAATAAATCAATTCAATAAAATTCTTTATAGAAATGTATGCTTTATTATGGTATAACAAAGCCAGTCAATATTGTTGTATGAAGCACAGGAGTCTGACCTTCTATCCGTATATATACTATTCAAAAAAAGTAGGGGATATTTGATTTTGGGGGCATAATACTAAAATATGCAAATGACTACGAAAAAAGTCACTATAGAACCTAACAGAAGAAACATTTCCAGTTACATGTGACGCCCAAACGCACCAATAGCTACCGCATGGAATGCAGGTGATGCTTGGGATCATCATGGGGGTCCAACCCAAGATTTGCACGACTCTGACTTTGAATGTTACAATCATTGTGGCATTGAATTCCAGGGTGGAAACATCAGTTTAATTGTTTTAGTGACCAGAAAACAAATTTTGATATGCGTCGGCTTACCCAAAATGAAAGGTTACGTGCCCTTGGCATGCTACAGATCGGCACAACACAGGCGGTTGTGGCGCGGACGATGAATGTTTCTCAGTCTGTCATAAGCAGGCTATGGTCCAGATACCGTGATACACAATCTGTACAGGACAGACCACGCTCAGGTCGACCAAGGGCGACAACTCAAG